GCTACATCATTAATCATAACATTTATACACTGCTCTCTAATGTACGTACAATATACTTTCATGAAAGGTAATCAAACTGACTGAAAGACTATTTGAGTCTATTTTCTTATATCATCTAACAAAAATTATCATTGGGTTACCTTTATATTTAACTATTCTACTACAAGAACAATAAATGATCTAATTATTATCCTTTACAGAATATTTGACAATGCTAAGTACCATAATAAAAGTTGCTGAGTCATTCCATAAGTCTCATCTAATAAGTTTCAATCTCAGTGTTTTGTATAAATGTAATAAAAGCTGTAAGTACAAAGCCTGCCTATGCAGACACAAAGTTTACAGATATTGTTAGCAGCTATACACAGCAGAGCTATACAGTGTTAGCAATCCTAGCCTTTACTAAAACACAAATGTGAATTCTTTGAAAACCATCTCCTAAAAACGATCAAATTCCTGGTGTGTTGCCATGGAGAAGCCAAAGATTTTTGACAGGGAGGGAGAGAATCCTGAATAGACAGATATATGTAAAGACACTTCAAACTACTCCTAAAATGTCTCTTGTTGAGAAGTTTGTCCTTGATTTCTACATTAAAAAGGAATCCCACAACAGATGAAATTTTGATGACCTGTGGCACTACACAGTATGCAGATTTTGCATCAAAGTAGCTTCTACACCTCACATCTCAACCTGGTTCATATAAGCTATGTCCTCACACAACATTCTGGGTACAGCATATAGTAGCTTCTACATTACACTTTGTATCTGAACCTGTTTCATGTAAGCTATGTCCTCACACAACATTCTGGGTACAGCATATAGTAGCTTCTACATTACACTATGTATCTGAACCTGGTTCATATAAGCTATGTCCTCACACAACATGCAGAGTGCAGCATATAGTAACTTACAAACTTCATATTTTAAATGATTCAAGTAAGCAATAACACCACACACTGAGTGCACCAGTATGAAACTTTCACAGTTAAACTTTTTTTAAAGAATGTTACAGCAGATTTAAGTGGAAGTAGGAATGAATTTATAGAAGGAAAAAATATTCAATAACAGAAAAAAAAAGTCAAAATGTTTATGATAAACCAAGTATTTCCATTTATTAAAACTATACCTCAGGTGTTCCACAGAATGTTGAGGTTGTATCCTTTCCACACAGGCCTTCTTTACAGAGACCAAAATCTGTTAGCACAACGTGTCCCTATTAAAAGAGGAGTATCATGTTGAAATTCTACTAGTAATTTGACTGGTCTGTATTTTCATTATTCTAGTAGTAGAAATGGTAAAACAAAAAAACTATCTCTGGCATTAGCAACTGTCAGCACATTAAAGTTTCAAATTTATCACTCTCTTTGGATACTGGTGGTATAATTTAACCACTAACTAATCACAATTACAATTAGAGGTATATATTATAAACTACAGTAAGCTTGTACCAAAATGTCTTTGATGTCCCATGTTTTTTGCACCACAAACGAAATGCTATTTGTGTTCCATTACTAAAGTCAGTAAAATTTAAATCAATGTGCTTAAAAGGAATCTTCACAAAAAAAAGCTAAATTTAGAAAAATTCAAGCACCACAATTCAGATAAAATCTGTAGTAAAAATACACCTTTCATCAAAAATGTATATAATACACACTTACCTGAGAATCCAATAAAATGTTTTCTGGTTTTAGATCCCTGAAATACAAGGATTAATACCATAATTTATTCATTAAATTGTTTTCTAATTCTAAAAATACATGTGCAGTTGTTGTAATGGACATGTAAAATAAAAAAATGTTACTTTAGGATAAGCTTTCTTTCCTTTTTTAGGCAACAAATTAATTCACTTATAGTCAGAGAATATTTAGTATTAAGTCTTATTAGCTGTGAACGTGAATAGATAGTTTTTTTTTTGGAAATATTTGTGGTGTTCAATTCTGAAATTATTATTTTTTTACTGCTGAATCCCTGAATTATTGTTGCTATTTAGTGTTTTAACATATTTAAGGTGAATGAATCTTTTGATAAAACCTTCTATATTTTTATTTTAACGTGATGAGAGGATAGGTTTCCATTATAACTTTAAATAAAAGCCTGTACAATCATAAAAACAAATTACCCAGTTAAAAGGAAAAAAATCTAAAAATTCAAACATTCATGGAATATGGTCCTCCTTTCTTTATCAGTATATGATCGAAACTGGAGTACGTTCTATTTTCAGGCTATTAACAAAAAGTTACACTTCTCACTAACATTTCAGCAATTACGAAAAATACTTAATCTTTTCCAACCTGGTAACTTGATTTTAACCCTTCCAAGACGGGTCACAGGTGAAAGGCTATGTCATCTTGTTCACTGACTCACATTCAAAATTTTATTGAACTACTATTTCATGAATTTATGTCAATAAGTTTAGTATCAAACTGTAGTTCTTGTGTGGTTCATGCATAAGAGCATAATAAATAGCTATGTTATGTAGTGGTTTTTATTACTTTATAAACCATAAATTGTTTTAAAAAAAATCAAACTATTTATTTTAAAAAGTCCCATAGTTATCGTTCCATGTGTTTGAAGCATCTCTATTTCGGGTATGGTGACTTTTATGAATTAATTTTTATTGATGAAAAGTCAGAGATGGTATTATACCTGTCAAAGGGCTTTAAAGGGTTAAGGAGAAAAGAGAATTTGTTTATAATTTTAATTGCCAAAAGAATTAAGTAGAAGAAAACTTGAGCATTTTACTTTTCTTCTTCTTATATAAGTATTATTGACATTATTATTTTAAAAAATTATTCTAGCTTTAAAGTGAGTTTTTTAATGATAGCTTCATAGTTAATGAATTCTTACCTATATACTATTCCATTTGAATGTAAATAACCTAAGGCACTTGCTATTTCTGCTGCATAAAATCGAGCCCTGGGTTCATGAAAGTAACGTTCTCTTTGAAGGTGGAAAAAAACCTGAGTAAATGAAAAAAACACATTTACTTCTACAGAATTTGTAAACATTCCAGATTTCTGAATATTAATACAAACCACTGATGTGTTCTAAAATACACAAAAATAAAAACAATCACATCACTCTATTGTTCTCTACAATTTTAAAAAGCAAACATTTAAAAACAAATTAACATCAAGACAACTGATCTGACATTTGGGTATTTTTTTCATAAAGTTAAAGCTATATTAAAAAAATGATTGTTAAATACATAAATTTCCCTTCCATGTATACAAAATGAATGCACTTAGAGATATGTGAAAATGGAAAGCTGAAAGTTTCAAGAGTACTCACAATAACCAAAGTTACTTGTGAAAATTAATATGTTGGGTAGTGCAACTTCAATCATAATTATTCATATTGATGGCAACCCTATACATAACTTTTTTTTTCACCAATATTTCAATTACTGTATGGTAGTTAATCACCAGAGCATTTAACAAGAATGGTGATCAGTGAATGCATGGTTCAAATCTTTTGAGCCATACAATCAAAAATAATTGTTGTCATCAACTGCCCTGATGATGGTGAACTGCAGAGTTACTGAAATGTTGACAAATAAACAATGTACTTATCTACATGGTTGACAGCAATATGAATCATTGTGATAGAAGAGAATGTATCTTGTAAAACAAAAATTGCAATATATTAAATTTGTTATTCCACATTTAAAACAGGAAAGCTACCTATTATTTATTTTTTGCTAACATAAAGCTGTGACTTCACTGGTTTTTATCTAGCTGTCATGTTGAAACAAACATAAATATATCATTTTATAAGTAGCTCATGTAAAAACATACTTTCAGATATTCTTGTTTAGGATTCAATACTTTACAAGTTTTATTAACAGAAGTATTCATACCAACAGTCAACAACACTTCACTTTCTCAATTATTGGAAATTTAAAACAACAACTTACAGAGCTGTATTAAACAGTAGCATTACAAACACACACTTAACAATTTAACTTGTCTGTAGTTGAGAAAACTGTCAGCTACACTGATGGAGACAAGTTGTATAAACATCCAAGTGTCAGAAAAAGCTCTTTTTCTGGTTGGTGTTAGATATTAACTGTTTTTCTTACAACACAACTTAACACAGCCAAATAAAATACATGGTATTATGAAAAGTACAATTTCAGTTTTGCAATAAAAATACATTCCCAGTGTAATGGCCTGTTTTACTCAAGTAGAAAGAAGCAGGTAATACACATCAGGTTATTTTTTATGGTATTTTTTCCACAGTTTATAATAGTGTAAAAGGGTAATATTTTGAATATACTAATTACTTTTAGGATTCATAATAATTTTGGCTGATTTAAAAACTCACTGGCTAACCACTATAAATGCTATTAAAGCCTTTCAAAATTATTGCATGTTTCTGCTATTCTTTTAAACCTTGTTACTGATACAATTCATGACTGAAAAATATTGAGTTTGGTCTCTCATTTTACATACAAATTTTAAAGTGTGTTATATATACAAAGCTCCAGATAAGTTAGGTCTCTCATTTTACATACAAATTTTAAAGTATGTTATATACAAAACTCCAGATAAGTTAGGTCTCTCATTTTACATACAAATTTTAAAGTATGTTATATACAAAACTCCAGATAAGTTAGGTCTCTCATTTTACATACAAATTTTAAAGTATGTTATATACAAAACTCCAGATGAGTTTGGAGGAAGAATAAAAATTTTTACAATTGTGTGATTTTGTTTTTAAGAATCAGAAGTTTCAACAAAAAAAAAAAACTGTCTAAAATATGATTTATGTATTACTTTAACAAAATCAAACATAACTCTCATGTATACTGCTGGATTAGATTAATTGATTATCATACCAGGACAGGTGCATCGCACTTCAAGGGTAATTTGCACCATTTGAATTAAAAAAATTATAAATAGAAAATAAACTTGCAGCCATTCTTCCACACATTTAAAAACACATACTTCAGAGTTGAGTTATATTCAACAAAAAAAAAGAAAAAAAGTCTTAATTATTCAATTTTATCCATAGAAATAAGATAAAATCCCCAATTTTAATACTGGGTTCACTTCAGCATACTCCAAACAAAAACATTATTGTCTTTGAATTTCCTGAATGTTTTCTATGTATAATATAGCACTGGTAGCCACATATGAGGAAAGTTGAAGAAGTTTTGAACAGAATAGTGTTAATTTGACCTTGTAATTTCAATGTAAGTGTAATTTTACCAACTTTAGCCAATTAGTCTTTCTCAACTTCAGCTGTGAAGGTGTGAAAAAATTGCCTCTATCTCAGCTTTGAGAATTTATATACTAGTGATCTAAACATGCCATGAAAGCTCTTTTTTCTGTCCTTTTTAACTGTATAAAGCCATATGGCTTCCAGTTCAGCAAAGATTTGTGTAGAGGTCAGAAGAAAAATGATAAAAGCTTAGTTTGATGATGTGATGTTGCAGTACAATGGAAATTGTTTTTGTGAAAAAAGTTGAGGCAAGCTTAGCTTATTAAGTTTCACTTCACCAACAAGGCTGCTGTGTTAGGACTTGTTTGCAATAGACCTTATCAGCTTAATTAACTGCTTCAATGGAAGAAGAAAATCACAGAAATGTAAAAAACATGTATATATAAAAAAAGAGGTTTAAATCCTATTATTCATTAAATAAAACATTGTGATCAATGGCATTAAAAAATAATTTCTATGTAATTTTAGTATGATAAAGTTATTTTTATTGTACACCAGTGAAACTATGTGCAGTGTTTTTCAAATCATAACAAAGATTACATTTAGTTTTATAAAATAACAACTTTAAAAGAAGAATCTTACAAGAATGAAAGAAGCTAAAAATCAGTTATTAAAATATACAACAGAGGTAACCATTTTTAATTTTCTTTTAAAAGAAGTATTACAACCAATTCTTTTTTGCAATTTCAAAGATACATATGTTACATATAGAAATATTCATTTGAAAAAGTTAAAAAGCAGAAAGTTCAAACTATTTCTTTCAGTAGTTTTTTGTAATGCAATAAAACCCACCATACTGAGCACTTGAAGCTAAATAATTACTATCGCCATTAGAACAAATACTCTATAATCAGATGAAAACTAAATAAGCACGAGCCAAGTATTTCACCAATAAATCACTCGCACTTAAAAACTTGAAGTTTTAGATAAGCCTAATTTCAGCAGAAAGTACTACCTAAAAGCTGTATTACCTTCTCATACACACACAAAATGGCATTAAAGAAAAATCAATATCCAAATTTTCTGTATTTTGCATACAGTATTCAGTTGTTCTCTTCCAAACTCAACATGTAAATACATTGTCTTAGTTATCAGTAAACAAATTTCTGAATCTTCAACAAAACCTAGCTTATATTTGAGATCAGAATCGATTTTCTAATAATGAAGCCCAACTTTTGATTGAGGTACCAAACTTAATCTTGTCATTTCAGTTCCAGGCTGATAGCAATAAGTAAAGGCTCACCTCACCACCATTGATGTAATCCAAGACAAAATAGAGTTTGTCTGTTGTTTGGAAGGAGTAGTGAAGTCCTACAAGGAAGGGGTGTGCCAGGTTTTTTAACAAGACATTTCTTTCACTCATAATATGATTTTTTTCATTTTTCTTCAAAATGATGTTTTTCTGTAAAACCTGCAGAACGATCAATAGATGACTCGTGTGAAATACAAATATGATAGAAAAAAAAAAAGTATCATACATAATTTTATTGTTTCCGTAAACCATGCACCAAAAGAAAAGTAATATTTATGATTAAATTATGCATATTGGCAATAAAAGATAAGTTTTTGAAAAAAATAACCTCACAGAGGTATATATAACAGTTGCAATTTGTTAAAGATACACTAATACATTAACCTATCTTACTTTATACTGTAGCTTGTGAATATCGGTAACTTGAGTACCTAATTCGTAAGAAACTATAGACTTTGTATTTGGACATCACAAACATCTAATTTGAAACCAATATTGCATTCAACATATCGCATAATACAAAAATCGATATTTAGGGTTTCTTTTATATTTACTTTTAAATTAAGAAGTTAATTAATGTATAATACTAAAATTTTAATTATAATCTACAATTTGATACCAAACGTATTGACATACATTCATAAAATAATAGTTCAATAAAATTTTGAGTGTGAGTTTACAAACACGATGACATAGCCTTTGACCCATGACCATAGGAAGACTCTTATCAGTAGGGTTAATAGGATGCTGAGACAAAGGCTTTACTTTAACAAAAGTGCTTTTTTCTTCATCTGATTCCATGATGTGAAGTATTACAAGATTTTTCATAAAAAAATATAGAGGATGAAAGAAAGCACAGACATTTCAATAGATAAACAGGCTGTTAGCTAAAACAATACGGGTTAAATGAACAGATACAATAGGTAATCACATGAAATTCGTAAAGAGTCTGTTAAAAGAACAGAAAAATATATCTTACTTTTACAGCATAGACATTTCCTTCTGTTTTATGTTTGGCTAGTAAAACTTTTCCAAAACTTCCTTTTCCAATTACCTTCAAGAACTCAAAGTCACTAGGCTTTACGCTAGAAAAATACAGTACCAAAAAACCTTTAATTAGTAAAACTTGTGTAATTCTTATACAATAATGTAACTTGTTTTGTGAATATACTTCATTTATAAAACAAACAACATGTTTTGACACATCAAACTAGGACAATTAGTATTTTGTTATGTAATGTTTTAAGTATATTATTATTTGTACAGAAATGTAATTAATTATTAACTTTCTTTTTTCACAGCTACCTCCCAGTTTCTCGGAAGTAAATCATACATATATTATGATTTCTTGACAATCTAACAATAACTACTTGAATAGTAACTGTCCTCAAATAAACACCCATAAACACATCAAACTGAGATGATTAGGATTTTGTAGTTTAATATATATAGCTTAATACCATTTATATTAAATCTCATTACTTACTGATCCACTTTTCCATAAATAACTCTCAATTTTGAAACAATAAAACTGACACAAATACACATAATAATTTCTTTATAAACTGACCACATCTACTTTATAGTAACTGTCTTTATCATATTTGAAATAAATATTAATTTCCTTATACATAATTAGTTTATAATATAGTAAGACATATTCAAGTAATTTTTAAAAATTTCTACAGAGGTGTCCCATACTTGGTTGAGATATCTGTGTAAACTGGTTGTCAAGAAGTCATAAACATATACAACAAAGAATGTCTCACAAAAACTTGTACCAGTTTGGCCCTGTATCAGGTATTAAAATATTACATTCCCGCATTCCCAATGAATTTAACTTTGCTTGAGGAATGTCATCTTTTTAGTTGGCTTTCCTGATCAAGACTGCATGGTCCACCAGTATTCCTTTAGTTATAACCAATGAAAGTGGACATATATGGATTAAGTAAAAAAAAAAACAATTCATGAGGAAATACAACTTTACATGAGGGGATGTAATCTTCCTGAGAGCTTTCCTCCAAGTGAATGTAATTTAATTTCATTATTTCTATCCTGTATATCTGTATTCACTCCCTGGAACAAGGGCAAACCCATCTAAAAGGGTGACACAGATATTAGTACAAATCACTACGAGTTGGAGATTCTCTCCCTTGAATAATATTACTTGGAATAGTGGGTGCCATGGGTAATCAATGGATTATAAAGCACTGCACTTTGACAATTTGTCCAAATTAAAAATGTTGATGAAGTTTTGCTGTTCTCGTATTGTGTGTACCTTTTGAAAAGTCTCTCTCCAGCACCCGATGTGAGTATACACAATAAGAAACTCACTTATATTTAAAAAGACACTATTCCTGTGAGTAAAGATTTTATTTATTCTCTTGTGTTTGCTTATTTTTCCTTTGCTGTCCATGTGCAATGTATTCACATGGCAACAAAACTGAAATCCAAGTACTTTTTTTTAAGATTTCTTTTGAAATAAAGGAATAAAAACTTGTATAATATAAAACTTTGAATTGTAGTGTACATGGTAATGCTGATTTTATTAACATACATTGATAGTAAAATTGACTGATTAAATTTGGAATGTAACTCAGTAAAACTTTGTGACATGTGCAGAAAGGAGCTTAAAGAGTATGCAGTTGTCAAAGGGTTAATGTACTCGAGTACCACATAATCATATCTGGGAGAATAGAAAAAAACAGAAATGGTAATTTCTCTGCAAGGAAATATACATTATGCCTCCTTATACAGAGCAAAATATCATAAGATTTTCACTATCTCTTCATTATCCACAACGGTTAAAGAAAATACTAAAGATTAAAAAAACATGTAAAATGACCAATTTATATGCAGAACTACTGAGGAATGTAATAAACACTTGTTTCAGGTATAATTCTATATGGAAGTTTGGTGAAATTCTACCGAGTGATGTGAAAAACATTGATTATACAAATTGACAAATGCATCTCTCCTAAAAATAATATTAAGTTCCAAAGGTGTAAACTGGTTCAAGTGACATTAACTCTTCCTAATGGAAGATATATATAAATATCAAATATGTAAAGAGAACCTTTCCACAATTTTGTGAAATTCAATCAAAATGATCAGATGTCTATTAAGTACCAGAAATACTAGGGGAGGGAAGTAACTTCATCAATATTTGGGTTTAGTTTATTCAAATATTTATATAATTTCATTGGACCAAAATACAAGTGATTTTTTTTACCCAACCTTTTCCATTTTAAATTACCCAAGCTCACAAACCACAGAACACTTCTACAGGGTTTAGAGATATTCCATATAAAACAATAATAATAATTTTAGATTATTCCAAAATAAATTCATATCTACTAAGAAAACTATGCTCAAAGAAGAAAAATCCACATTACAGTATACATATGTTCATCTACAAAGTTCACTGAAAATCCAGAGAGAAATACTGAAACTAAATAAAACAAATTCACAATACAACTTAAAAAATACAATAAACATCCATAACATGTAAAAAAAAAGAATTTGAACAAATATAATATAGTATATTATGATAAAGGTACTTGAAACAATCGAAAAGTGTGAAATACAGTCTCATTTAGCTACTCGAACAGTTATTGCCTCAAATTTTTGACATTTAGTCCATATTTGAAATATGTTTCTGTATCTTATGCAGAATAAGTTGTTAATGTCCTGTATTTTTATAAAAAATTGTTCAAACTCATCATTTAAATGAATATTACACTAAACAGACCACACTCATCTACAAATGATCAAATATCTAAAGCAAAAATTATAGCTGCATGCACCATGTGCATTCATTTAAAACTTCAAAATTAATGTCTGTATTGAGGAGTTCCAAAAAGTTGCATAACAAGATTAACAAAAGAATAAATAGGCCAAATTTCTATTAGGGTTATTCTGTACTCTATAATGTAGTTTTGTTTTTGTGATTTATACAAAAAACAGACATTATAATCAAAAAGTATAAACAACAAGCCTTACTTGTTTTTTTCGGTAGGACCTAAATCCACTTGTTTATCATCTTTCTCTTCCTAAATTAGGTCAAAACAAATCAGTTTATCAATGAGAACTGCAATACAAATAAACTGCAAGAATTTTATTAAAAGTATCAACTTTATCGTTTTGTTCCTGTCATTAAGTGTTGGATATACGAATGTCTTACTAGCAATAAATACATTGTAGTAACAAGTTTTCCTTATCAAATTTACTAATCCAATATGCATTATTAGTACATTGTTAATAATAGAGAGAATACAACTTGCTTTGTACTTGATGTAATTATTATTTGAATGGTTACATTTCTATATTTTGAGCACACTGATTACCATTATAATGTTTTATTAATAGCAACTTAATATCCTTATTGAACCAACTGGTAAGCACTCATATTTTTATATATGATATAAAATAACAGTGACAGAAATACTTGACTGATAGTTTTTTTACTAAAAAAGCTTGGCTCAAATTTGTAACAGTATTTTTTGTATCTGACCATAAATTATAACACATCTCTTTTTGTTGGCATGTATAATATTACTTCCAAACCTCTGCCAAGTGAATACTTACATAATCTAGAACCACTGGATTTTCTGGGGTAGTTGGAGTGTCTGGTGCCTCATCCAATGGATCATCCTCACCATCGTTATCCACATTCCTACTTAGGTTCAGGAATTCTATAACTTCAGGACTAAATTTTAGAGAGTTGACTTTCAGTACAAATACCTTCAAGGATACTGCATAATTATCAAACTTTTTGACCGATCAAATAGTTCTTAACTGTTTCACTATTTATGTAATTGTTATGCTTTACAATCATAGCTTTGGTTTCACAACAAACATACACATGTAAGATGAACAAAACAGTACTTTCACACATAATCACAGATTGAAAATTCACATGATCATGATTACATTTGCACAAGACATTGTGAACAAACATTTATTACACATTTACCCTTTACATTTGTTACAATTCACTCTTGTGGCTATTAATTTATCAGTTTTTACTGACTTAACACTTGCACTAAAACTGGGCACCTCTTTGTTGCATGTTACTGAACCCCAAGAATATGTTTTCTCATTTATAGAGTATTGTACACTCCCCCCCCCCCCCATGATGTTAAATGAGTGAAACCATTTAACTAATGTATTATTTAGGTTTTTAGTACATTCAGCTTAATTCTGAGATACATGTGGCTTAATTAACACATGTGGTATAAGATTATAAAAACAAGTATAAATCAGCTATTCAAATATAAAAGTCAGCATACAACACTTGTACACTATTGGACAGTTGACTATATGTAATTTCTGACGTGACATTCACAACAGTCCTGTTGAAATAAGTGTTAAGCCATAAAGCAGTGTTTTCGTGGTCAAATACTGCCCACAAATGCCTCACAAAAACAATCAAGACAGTGATATTATATTTTTAAAATTCTGACAATTGGCGAGCCACAGCGAGGATTATACAGTGGTAAATGGCAATAGAAGAAAACATGAACAACAGCAGAAATAAGTAAGCCTATCTATATACGCACAACAGTAGTGGTAATGAAAATAGTATAAAGATTAAAATTATGCTATATAACCATGTCAACAGATTTTGATAAATGGAACTCTACATCCAAACAGAACAAAACACTAGTGTTGTCAGCAATATAATACTAGCTGCATTTTTTTACATTATACATAAGTTTAGTACTGTGTGAAAATAAGACTGATGGTTTTATAATTAAGCAAAAAATAATTCATTCCTAATGTTTAACTTCCTAATTGCTTAAAAAATTATACTTCGTCAGCTTAATCCAGTTCACAATGTAACAATTGTTGCCAAGTAATTTCATAATAAAAACAGTCTCAACCTCTAATCTGTTTGTCATATCCCAGTAAGCCTGATGAGACCTGATATTCGGAAAAAGCCTCGTTAGCACTGGAATAGCAGTACCGTATTGTTTATAAATTATAATAAACTCTTCTTTACTTTCATGTAAAAGTTCTTATAATTTAAGTAAAATAAAAATGATCAGCAAGAAACGAAAGCTACGTGTAAAATAAAAAAATAAAAAAGCATCCGGTACAATGATAATTCCAATTTTAGTATCCAAAGCATGTAAAATCTCATTCTCCAAATCCAAAAATAAATAAGGTATTAAAATATGTAATTACTTATTGATAAATCGTTGGTCACTAAAAAGTTTCTGAATAAAGTCATTTAAGCCTTGTCTTCGTTTATTAATGAGATCAGTACTGAAGTTATTTCCAAAAAACTTTTTGCCAGGCAATTTAATCTGTAATCCTGGAAAGTCCTTCTTCAGCTGTAACAGAGAGAAAAAAAAGAAAAAAAAAACATTTAATGAGTAAATACATTACACAGTTTTAACTGTAACCTTCTATAATCTATAATAACCTTTCAACATTTCTACTGTGCAGTTCAAAAATTAAACATAAAAATTATATTAAGATATTCAAACAACTGTGTATGTGTCATTTGGTATAAAAACAAAACATGTACTACATCTAACACAAACAAAATTACATGAGTCACAACATGATTTTTTATAAAGATCAATTAAAATACATGAAGTTACAGCAGATACCAGCTCTGAAAATCACTGTAAAAGAAATAGTTTAAAATTTTTCAGTAACAACCAACATTGAAACAATACTATGACATGGTATCTAATTGTAACAGTGTAAAACTCCACTGTATAATTAAAGGGGCACTCAGCAGAGTGCATGCCTCTGTCATGAAGCTTTGATCATACTCGACTCTCAAAAGATATAAAAAGTTTGTTCATATGTCTGTCATTACCAATGGATATGATCCATTTTTGGCAAGATAATGAGGAATAATATTCTATAAATGTCCACTAAGTTTCATCAAAATCAATCATTTCTGACTGAGTTATAGAGCAAAAATAGTGTGAAAAATTGATCGCCATGTTAACAGATACATATTTTTTTTATTTTCGTGGCCTTGCTGTGACTTTTACCATCCAAAAACTAATCACTTCTAAGTTGGATCATAGTCCAAATGTATACCAACTTTCGTCCAAGTTCATTCAGCTGTTTTTAAGAAATCTTGCTGACAAACACACAGGGGTAAAAATATAACCTCTGTCCACCTTCGATGGCAGGAGTAATTAACACTTTCTGTGTTTCAGTATATTCCAGTGAATATATGTGGCAAATTCTCATGCTCAAAAATATCTTTCACACATACGAGGGATGTAAACCTAAACAGGAAAGTGAGAATAGCTATCACTAAATGTTATACATCATGGATGTAGTATAGGGTTACCAGAATTTCAGAGTAAAGAACTGAAATATTTTCTTTTTCATATGGAATGACACTGAAATAGTTTTAATTACAATAACACACTATACCAGTTGCTAATAATTTCACATCTGTTACATCACATTCTAAAATCACAGGCAAACAAAATCTGTTAAAAACTCATCTAATTAATAAAAACAAATGAAAAAACTATTTTTTTTGTCTTGAACTTAGTCAAAAGAAAAATGTTGCTTCTTCATATTCCTTTTTTGCAGATGGGAAGGTTTTCTGTGGTTGTCCAATGACAGATTAGGTTAAGGAAATGCAGCAGAGAAGGGAACACAGTACCAGGTGATTCTCCAAATCAAATTTATAGAAGCTGTATATAATGACAAACTATACATGTCAAACTCACACTGAGAAATTTTAACATTGTTACTGTTTATTATCACGACTGAAAAAATAAAGCTAAAAACAGGAACATCCGTAATGCTAATTTAGCATCCTAAGTTACAAAAATTGTGTATTTTTATATAATTTAATATATATCTGTACGTGTGTTTAAATGTGTGTGTGTGTGTGGTACTGTGTAAATATAAAGGTCTCCTTCCACTGATGTCGGTTCTAATTCATACCAAAACAGGTTAAAAGCTATAAAAATATGGCTTATAATGGAAGTTATATATCATATCTACTATGAATTAAATATTCAAACAATGAATGTCAAAATCTCTATTGCTACACATGTGTGACAAGATATTTTTTTTTCACCATGAGGCACACCATACAAAAGCACAGGAAAATGCTTTTCAGCTCCCATTAAAAATATGTATGTCAATCAGAAGATATATAAAATAGTAATTCCCAGACTGGCATGTTCTTAGTCACTAAGAAATAAATTAGTGTCCAGCCCACGCTCCACTGGGGTAAGGCTGTGGCTACATCGGCAATGTTTAAGATCTATTATGTTATATCAAGAATTCATTTTTCAACATTTGGAGTCAGAGCACTTGGAAATTTTCCAATAATTTCTGACCAGTCCACTTCTCATCAAATAGTTTATAATGGTAAAAATATCTAATTAACTCCATAAAATACAATCAAAAAAGCAATCAACACCAAAAGAATAACCAATGAAGATTCAAATACACTGATAGGCTATCTCTGACCCAAGTTCTCCATACAAAAAAGAAAAAACTTGTAGCATCACTCAACCTTTTAACTAATTATCTATTAATCTTCTAAAAAAGCAATGTCTTTAGTAAGCACAAAACATATTTAGTCACACTTTATACAATTCAATTGGTCTTTAGCAACTCTTATCTGTCAATGCAGATTGTCAAATTATTTTAGTCATCAAAAGAGTTAACAGTAAAGAAAAAATAAACAAAATGTTTTATTAACATTTATTCCAGTGTATGAAAGTTTGTATACAATCTTCCCTCAAGAACACCCTAATTCACAATCTGTTTATCACACATACAACATAAACAATGTAATTCAGGAACACACATGTACTTAACACACACATTTCAAGAAGAAAATTACAAATAAAGTGGCAAGATACCACCATGCTAATTAGACAAGCATGCAGATCAGCAAATACATTAAAGATTCATGCAAGACTGTATACATTAGGCTCTTAACAAATGCTCTGTCTATACTCATTGTAGATAAACATGAAGAACCTTGAATTTCAACAACATAGTAAGGTTGATGGATTCATTTACAACATAAACATTTGTGTCAGACAAATGATTAACAGCTGCATAAATTACTCGTAAGTAAGGTGTCATAAATGTAACTAGTGTACGATTCCGATACTCTAAACAAAAAATTGAGCAAAGAAGACAAACATGGGAAAGACCAATAAATATAAAATAGCTTAAAGTTGGAAAAAAAGTTTCACAAATCAATTAAAATGTATTACACTACTTAACCAACAAGAATAAAAATGAAAACAAGACTTCACATTTTCATAAGAAAAAATGGCACTGTAACAAAGTAAAATTTCAAGTTTTTAAGTTTTCTTTAGTTCTGTAAATTCATTTTGACATATTTAATCAGTAGTATTAATTGTTATAAATTTTTGTTTTTGACTTTAGTGACTTTTTGGGGAATTTAAACCTGAGTTTTATTGTATACATAGTGCAACCTTCAAAACTTTATGCCTTTTAAATTTATAAGATCAGCAGGTCTAAATCTGTGGTCATCCATTGACTCCCTTTCAAGAGTTTGTGGGAGGTTTGCAAAATTACAGAAGAAAAAAAAAGCAGCAGCATAGTATACATATCCCACTGTGGCCCACTAATATAGAAAAAAAAAATGTGGGTGGTTTATAAACAAAAAATTTGAGAACCACTGTATTAAATATTTATTGTAGTTTGTCTGAAGATTTCCTTACATAAACAGTTGCATTTCATTAAATCATATCGAAATATCTTCAGTAAGATAAAAAATATTACAGCAAACTGTTCTTCTAGATAATGATCAAAATATACAGCAAATGGGAAGGTTAGACTAAAATAGAACTTTACTAGTTTACTAGTACTTTTACAAAGACTAACTTCAACTACACAAGATATTTGAATTGGGTTTTAAGTTTTAAAACTTTTGTACGCACACAGTAATATTCTTCAAATATACATTTTCTTTAAGTATACTAAATGTCTTTACTGGAATAACATAAAAATGATTTTTAATACAACAACATTTCAGCCCATAGCAGTGGAGAGTCACTGAACTATAGTAAAACTGTAATGTTATGAGGGTCCTCTCTTATGCATCAAAACTGTTATTTGTCACATCACCTTACTGGTTTTTTTTTTAATGCATAGATTCTATATTCAATATCTCTACATGAAACTAGAGTCAGAACAGTTATTCTTATTAATGTAATATACAATTTGGATAAAAGCATCTTATCTATTTCATTCTGAATGACACTTTGATAAAAGTTAGTGTAACTTGGACACAAGTAACAACTGAAACTTTTTTGTACTATTAGAACACAGTGTTTGCACCAGAGCAAAGGTCAAAGTTCTTCAACAAAGCAGTACATCACAGGAACTTTAAAACTGAGTGGGTTCGAACTATACTTATTTAATTTCTTAAATTTTATAAATAGTTATATTGACTCTGAGTCTCAACTTTAGAACAATGAGTTGGCCATATACCCTTTTGAACAGCTTACACTCTACATCCATAATGAATTAAATTACACAAGTAGTTTAAAACTCAGCTTACACTATAAGCATGAAGATATAAAATTTGTTTGTTGGCCATATACCCTTTTGAACAGCTTACACTCTACATCCATAATGAATTAAATTACACAAGTAGTTTAAAAGTCAACTTACACTATAAGCATGAAGATATAAAGATTTGTTTGAAATATACTCAGTTGTCCTTGACAGTGATTCACACATGTACATGAGTTATATAATTTTATACAATAACTCTTGTTATCAGAGAGATAAACATTATTGAAGTATAAAATTCCACATACTTGACAGAATGGTAGATCAACTCAAGGTTATTGATGTAGTACTAATACACTGTAACACATAAAACAACCACCAAGATAAGAGATAACTATAAAATACAACAATTCATTTATTAAAGCAAAGACTGTTTATCTTGTGATTACATTACACCAGTACTTCCTGTATGCCTCTAGTGGTTTACTAGGAGTGTATAGTATGACATTTATGTTTAACAACCAGTGGAATAACCGTCTCTAAGGTCCCTGAAGCAAAATGTTTTGTTGATTTTCTCTCCATTTAAAATTATTCCATGTTTCAAACTATTTTTTCTATAATTCCACAACTAAAATACTCAGATAACAATTCTGAAAGGGCCCCTGGTCAACCAGGGTCTTGGAGCAGCAGACCCACTTGCCCCAGCTCTTGCTGTATCCACTGTTGTTAGTGTCCTACATATCACACTTAATCTTATCACTTATCCTAGAGGTAAATTGACTGTTTTTCACCTTGTGCTAAAATATGTACAAAGAAATTCCCCACATAGCTTAGAAAACAAGGATTATTAAATCCTTTCAGTTTTCAAGTATCATCACTACTCTCTCTAAGATTCTAAGATTTGTTGTGACCTAAAGCCCTCTTTAAGATTCTAACACTCTCCTAACTGTTGTGACATACTGTACCCTCTAAGAATCTAAAACCATCCTAACTATTTTGAATAAAAAGTAGAGTGTACATAGGTTTGATTCTTTATAGCTCAAATTAATGATAATCTGATAGTTATATATGGCATCTAAATTAGGAGTATACAATAATTGGACATACCTTGCTCCTTCAGTTTACATTAAAACCAACAGAAACAATGTTATTTCAACCAGTAAAAAAACTGCCATGACCTGCATTATACACATACTACTCACACTTTAATTCAAAATTGCTTGCACTCTCCTATAATCCTGTATTTATTCATGACTGTTTGTATGTCCACAAAATCTTCCCTCAGTTTTGGAGCTAATAGAACTTGGTACTCAGACTTCGGGATGGTCCAGAAGGTGTCCTTATCTATATGGTGTATTTCACTTACCAAGGAGGCTAAAATGCTCCTGAATTATCGCTCAGGCATGATAGGGGTCTCAAAGTAGATATTTAGGGTTGTTGAATCCAAATCTGGAATTCAATTTTGTGTTCCGGGATCTCCTCAAAATCTCTGAGATACTGTGTTTGAATTTGTGTTCATACCTCCACTCACAAGCTAGTGAAACCAAAAATGGCAAATGCGCTCAGTTACCATGGGTGGGAGTCCTAATAGGGTTTGTTTTTGTGTACAGACATTCCTTGGAGTAGCTATATAAATCAAGTTAACACAACGGAAGAGCCTGATCAGTACATTGTGACCTCAGTGAATCACAAGGGAACCTTTGAACACCACCAGCAGAGTGCAGATTTTTTGTGCTAGTACATACAATAGCTCTAGTTTATCTGAAAATAAATAGAATCCTCCACGATAGAATAAAACAACACAATTTATTAAAGTCTCAGTTTCACAGCTGAAATTCAACTTTAAAAAATTGGAACAGTGAAGGTTTTGCTTTGTGGCACATATAGACATGAAAAACGAATGTGACAAATACCAAGTAGTTAGCAAAAATATAAATGTACATATTAAAGGAATGAAAGTAATATTACTTAAATAAAAAAAAAACATCCACTTCCTAAATGAAAAGCAAAGCTGACTCACAAAAATATCATTATTGTAAATTTTATACTTTAGATTTAAAAAAAAGAAATTTAATTGTGGAGCAAATCTAGGTTACATTTTGTGATTTACATTCCCTTTAAAGATAAAATATGTATCCCAGAATTTTTTGTTTTAAACTTTTATATTTTACTCAGAGTTTTAATTACAACAAAATATTTTACATCCATTTAAATTAAACAAGATAATTCAATAAATGTAAGTTTTTATAATGCATGAAGAAACAAAACTATTCACAAGTTGTCTTACATTAAACTTCATCCATCAGCACTAACTATTCAGGCATCTTATACAATACAATGTGATAATGTAATATTTGTTTAGATAGAACCTAAGAGGAAGAAAGTCAGATCAGTAACATATTTGATAGAACAAAATACTTAGATTCAAAATTCATATAATGCTGGATAATCAAAACTTGTTCATGCAAGTTTGAAAGTGTTATTTCAGTGACAAAATGTCACTAACTCTCAAAATAAATCAATTGTGAGCTGCAAGACTTGTAAATTTCAAAATTACTACAAACCAGTTTTATCAAAAACTATCAGAAGTGAAGCTTCTTTGTTATTCAATACAGTTTCTCTTAGTTTAATAACTAAAGTTTTCAAACAGGATTACGAACTTTAATGGACTGCAACTACCTCTTCAAAGAAAATGAAACAACATTTTGGTTTCTAAACTAAAACCTCAGTAAAAAAGCTGAAATGTTGTCTCTTTTTCTTTCAACAACATTTGCAGTCCATTAAAGTAATCAAACTTATTATATCTACTCTGCCAAAAGTCCTACTGAAACAACATAACGTTCTCGAAGTCCAGATAAAAAAAACATCTTGAGTTTGTTTTAAATACAGCCTTCACAATCACTCTATCAATATGCAAACCTGAGTTAAAAGCAAAAATATACAGGATAGTGTTAGGAGTCTGTAGGAAATAACTAGGGAATATATCACGTTAAGAAGCAACAACTCTGGGGATAATGTTCTTCACTATTAGAACACATCACATTCCACTCAATAGATCAGAATTATTCTATGGTCCCAGGAGGATCATTCACTCTGGAGTCTGGAAGCCATGGCAACTACATTGAGCTAAATATCATTAATTATATAATTAAGAAACTCCGCTATGAGAGAGAACCTGAATATTTTTATGAATTCAGGACTAAGTAATAAATTTTATGAGTAACTTCTTTTAGCCAGCTCTGAATTTGGACATTAGTTTCTAGAAGCAAAATATAAAAAGCATCTAAAAGTAAACTCACATTTTCTTGTAACTTTGAGAACTCGTTGTATCGTCGAAAAACAAACCATGTTTTCCCTCCTGCAGTTACTACAACTTTATAAACCTGAAAAATAGAGCAAATTATTACTACAACTTTATAAACCTGAAAAATAGAACAAACTATTACTACAACTTTATAAACCTGAAAAATAGAACAAACTATTACTACAACTTTATAAACCTGAAAAATAGAACAAACTATTACTACAACTTTATAAACCTGAAAAATAGAACACACTAGAGTAAATTTCTGAAGAGGAAAAAGTACTGAAGAAAAATATTTAAGTCTAGTATCACTACTTTTTCAAATAGTGAATTTTCACTACAATTCAAAACATGAAATAAAAATTAAAGTAAAACTTTAAATGACAACAATGAAATCTTTAAAAAATTAACAAAAACAGTATTTTAGGTGGTAAATATAAATGAAGATGCGTTACTTAAGGATTCATTATACCAGAAACAACTCCTGTCCTAATGTTTCTAACATAAATGCTAAATGCAGATATCTCAACTCTGGATCATCATGTATGTACCTTACAGCACTTTCTGTAAACTACTGCCAGAATGGCTGTAGTAATCAGACTGTTTAATCCTTATTTTGTTGGTGACATTATGTGCTATTAGTATTCATATAACCCTAACCACGTAACACATTTTAAATGTGAGATCTCTATACATATGTTTTTAGACTGGTAGATACCCTTACATGAGAAACATAATTCTTTTTTTATTCATTCAGCATATGTATACAAATTTTTTTTATTCAATCCACAGCTTTCGCACTACTTTGCTACTTTAAGAGTATGAGCTATTTTGTGGCCAAATATAACATCATGTGATATCAGACCACAGCACCACCCAATACAAAATGGAAAAACTAGCTTGGCCTCAAAAACTGCATCTCTCACCACTGAGTACAAGAGCCCCAACTTTTGTTTTGGACCCTCAAACTGTTAAGCTTGGAAAAAGCTTAGTTACTACAGTTGTTTAATGAAATAACAAATGATATGTATCTTCTAGTCACTCACTAATCTACAGTTATCTGATAAAAGTGAAGATTACTACAAACATAACAATAGGAATTCACAACCTGAATAATATTTTATGCAAATATATGATAAAAAGGTCGGGTCAAAGACCCTTAGAACTCAGTCCTTAATTTTGAAGGAATGACCAAAAGCAAAACAGCCACCCAGAGACACTGGCCTTCACAAAGGCTTTCGCTAACTATGTGAACCAAATGATGGGATTGGCCATCAATTTTATAATGGGCTGCACCTAAACGTATGGAGTGTGTTCAGATTCACGCATGTTTCGAATCCCATATGTTTTAATTCATGGCCTGACACATATTTATTAGTTTAAACATTGGCAAATAATAACAGATGATTAAAAATGTTGGGGGAAAAAAAAAAGAGAGAAAAAGATTATGTTAATTTGAAGAAAAAATAATAATAATTACAGCACAAATACACATACACACACACACACGTATGCATGCAGTATGTAAAAGACTACATAGTGAAATATAGTGACTTAATATAGTGACTTCTGATAACTATCACCTACAACATACAATAAAAAAAAACAGAAATTACATGGTGCCTACAGTATATTTTAATCGCTTCTTTTCCCAGGTTTCAAAGTTGGTGACAGTGGCTGATGTTGGAGATAAAGAGCCATTCTGATTGTTTGCCCCATTCCCTGTAGGACTGCTACTCATTGCTTAATCTGAAACAACAAAATATATATATATAAAGTTTAAATTAGTCTTTGAAACTTGTGTGAAACTACAGTGCCATAAACCTAATTTCCTGATTACAGGTATATATATATTAAAATGACAAGTATTTCCAGCAACACAAGTAAGCAGGTGACACTACCTTATCATTTTATGGCTTTGCTTTTTCAATTCTTATCCACAGCTCACTTTCATGCTGTCAATGCTACCAGCTCTCATACAAATCTTCTACACCTAATTGTCCAGGTTATTTACTAAACTTCCTGGCCTCTCTGAAGATTTTTAAGCCACTGTTTACTTGCATGTCATTTAGATAAATGACACCAAACAAATACATGTACATAAATGATTACTGGAACCATCTATGATAACTTTGTTTTAAGTATGTCTTTTTTTTTTTACCTAAAACATGGAATTTGTACTCAAGAGTTTTTCTTATCTTGATAACTATTTTGGTAATTGTTTGCTCCATGTTCAAGCATGTTGCCTACATACACAGACCACATATTTACCCTACAATTTGATTTATATAGCATGTGTAACATTCTATGAGCTACTTGCAAAAAGAACATGAGTTCTAAAGACACAAGTCAGCTTATTAAACTTTCCAGAATCATGTCTAATGCACATGCTTTATGAATGTTGAAAGCACTTTTGATAAAATATGCAGCCAGTGTATTTTACACTTAAAGATTGCTATGACCTTTCTAAATTTACACACTGCCTGTCAGCAAGTTCTTGATTTTTATTTTAATGGTAGAGTGAAGTGTTGGCAATAGTATATAAATCTGCCATTTGCAGAACAGGCACTTTATTTTTCTTTTACATATTACACTGTCCACATGAGCTTTTCCTTTCACCTACTCTTTTTTACTAAGTGTTGTAATAATTTCATTCTGTTATAACATCCTATGACTACATCATACATTCATTTGTAAGGAATTGTAATTTTAAAAAAATATTCAAGACAATACTGAAAATAGAGTTCATTTCAGATGTTTAAAATTATTCATAAATACATATCCATCTTCGTAGATTTTCTCTGAAATTTAGTTTTACGTAGGACATTTAAACATAAAAATATAATAATGTGTTACTCTAAAAAACAACTTGTTTTCACAGAAGGTGGTAAAAATGTATTACATATAAACCACGACATCCGAAATAAAATGTTTATTTTCACTATCATCATGAATACACCATATTTCATCACAACGTGTCAACATTTTCAACACTAATTCACGTGTATATAAATATTGTACGTGTTGTCACTGATGGCTTAAGCTACAAAAAACTGAAGCAAATTCAAAATTTACAGAATTATTACAACAAAGTAAGTCAACTCAGCAAATGTTTGTGAACTTTAAAAAATTGTTTAAATCACTCTTCTGTAAATGCTATTTTGAATTCATCCACCTTTGTAAATCTAACAATAACAATGTTTCAAAGCTTAAGAATTCTTGCAAATAAATATAAAATAAATTCTAAACAAGTAAAAAATAAGTGGCAATAGTCTTTCCACATCAAGTTTAACCTTCACTTTTTACAGAAATATGCAGTATATAAAAAAAATTGTCGTTTTTCATTCTTTTTTTTTTATTGATCATTATTGTCTTCCATTCTGCACAATATCGAAAGTATATGGTAATTATCAATAACTATAACTTATAAAATACCAAATCCAATTCTATAAAAGACGTTGAAAAGAAGTACTAGTAATAATATTTTCATCCATAATCCAAATAATATATTACAAGATTTCACCAACATCAAAGATTTAGGCTATTTATAAAACCATGCAGTAAGCTAAAATTGCATAATAATCATTATATTCTGAATAATTTTAAACATTATAGCCACTATATTTAATAAAAAAGAACTTTTAAAGAAAAGGTTTGGAATAAAAATTAATATTTTCATACTGACAGTCAGCACAAAACACAGGATATATTTTATAAAGAAATGTTATTTGAGAAATCAGAAAAAGACATGTCAGTTTTCATTCTTTTATACAAAACTTTGTTAGCATTTAAAAATAGATGAACTTAACCCTCTTGCTAGGGTCAATGTGAGCATGTCACAACCTTTTAGAGAGTTACAATGAAAATTGAAACTACTTTATTATCAATGAATACAAACCAAATTTTAATATAACTTTTAAATTCTTAATTTTACAAGGAAATTTTTTTTTTAAATTCAATCTCCCCTAGTAGCACAAATTACTCATTATAACACAGATATTACCAAAGCAAAGTCCAATTTTTATAGCCTTCAATCTTATTTGTTTATGGAGCCATATATTAGAAAATCAGACCTGCTTACCACATCACCTGTTGGATCCTCTCTTTCACAAACTGCCATTAGTTCTCTCCGACATTTTATAATATATTATTTATAACCAACAAAAAGGCAAAGTTTAAATCTATCAAATGATATATTATATTACATTGCTTTAAGTACAGAGTATTGTCTATTTCCTCTTCAGTTTAGAAGTTTCTCTCGAGGAGTTCAGGTTGAGAAGCCTTGGGAATTACTTTAAGGCTCTTATGCAATAGTTGGAAAGCCAGTTAAACTATGATAGTTATAGGATGCTGTTTGATTTGTGCATGTTATTATTCTGTGTTCTTATGTGCACTGTTTAAGTAAATACAAATTATTTAGTGTACTAGTACCATTAGCATAAAAAAATAGGCTTAAATATCATTGGCAACCAACAGCAAAAAAGTAAGTCAAAGGTAAGTACCAGATTTCTTGTTGTTCATTATATTCTTTATTTATTATTAAAAAGTAGCTAAATTGTAAGAATTAAAAAGTTATTAGATTAGATAAGATTAAAACAGGTAAGACAATGAAAACCAATAATAATAACAAATTTATTTTCAAGGTATGCTTGCAAGTAGTTCATTCAATATAGTAACATGAGATACACATTCACAAAGTGATTTATAACTTGAGAGGATTATTAGTTAGACATGGTTCAAATGGCAACAAAACAATTAAACTTATGTATAAACAGATGTAGACTGTTACAAGCTTTAAGCTATTTAAGATAAACAATTCCAATTCCCTGTTATAATATGCAGTCATTCTAGAAAGAAAAAAAGATAATTTAGATTTATTTAAAATTTTTTATGCTGGTTACAAGGTCAGTTAAATCAATTAAGTCTGTAAAGAGTTAGGGTAGAGAAAATAACAGATAAAATACAAACTTTTACTGAAAACAAAAGGGAATCCTCAATAGCTACAGCACTTGAAATTCTTTTAGGCAGGATTAGAGTAAATTAATCTACGAGACCTTTTTATTACCTAAATTTTTGTGCGCCAGTAATACCAAACATGGGCCACGTGTATACTTCATTTGATTTTATTACTCATCAGGATCTCTACCAGCCTACCCTCAAATTGAAATTCGTTTAGGCAGGATTAGAGTAAATTAATCTATGAGACCTTGGGCATGGTCAAATACATCAATCCAAAGGGTTTGATCGCCTTAGTTAAAAACTGTAATTAGATCTCAAATTGGTCAAGAGATGATGGAACTACGAGTTAAAAATTTGTACTTGAAAAACTCTGAGCCATTCTATGAGCTGCTATGCCACAGCTAAAAAAAATGTTTGACATTTATTTATGATGTTTTAAAGGTTATGCAAATGAAACTTGAGAAGTTTCAGATGAAAAGTTAACATTTTTTTAAATTGAAAATTTGCCTTCTTCGGTTTCCAAAATGTGTAGCAGTCATCAGATAACTCCCACTTCTGATGCTTTTGCCCAAAATGATCACTACCAAATGTATATTAACATTTTCCTAAATTGAAAATGTATTTCCAATAATACTTACCTCTTTTCACACTACAGCTATTACTTGACTGCCAGGGTTTCCTTACTTTGCCCATCTAAGCATTGGTCTGAATTTTTCCTGCTTGCTCCAATCTTTTATTTCCCACTTAATTGCCTTTGGTGATATCTGTCATGTGACACTCTCCACCTACATCAATTCACCCTCTATCCTGGTACTGTATATAAGCATCTCATTCATTATCACTTTTTCTAGAATGACCCATTCCACAGTCTCGAACACCAACTCTTAGTGGGGAGAAAGGTGGGAGAGTGTGAAAGGAGGTAAGTATTATTGGAAATATATTTTCAATTTAACCAAACGTTAACTTCCAAAACATACTTACTCCCTCTCACATTACAGCTAGAATCCCACATTGATAAGGTGGAGGGGCCAATGAGGGCATTATCTGTACAGAATGTTTCTGCATAGATCAAAGTGTGCCAAGAGAAGATTGGCACTCAAGTGGGGGAACTGCACTACATCCAGAATAGGTATGTTCTCCACCAAGAACTATGGAAAGAATGTGGAACAAATTGTACTCAACCAAGGACCTAGGTTGGGACCACTCTGCACTTGGAATTATGAGGAGACAATGGACCCTCTTCCATGAACAACGTACTGAACCAATATTGATCAAAAAGAAGGACCATGCTCAAACCAACCAGATAGCAAAGCATCAAAACTGAACTGGTATTATGAGTAGGCTCCAGCATAAGCTGGTGCCTCTCCTACAAACAACTGGTGAAAAACATCCAGAGACCTTGGAAGGAGGGCCCCCAACTTCGCCCTCTTCTCCAAAGTAGAAGAATTAACTCAAACACTCTGGAGAAAGAACCTCTGTCCACCACTCCAGTGACTGGAAACTGGTAAGGTCTCCCTAGCTCCACTACTAGACTCTGAGGGGTAATGCACACTGGGGAGTCTTGAGGAACAGTGCAATGGGTGAATCAAGTTCTCTAAATATTTAAAAGTAAACCAGCCCCAATTTATTCAATCCAGTGATTGGAAAGGACAGGCAGGATCCTATTATGCTTTACTCATGACAGTCCATGAGTGGCAATCCAGCATAGTACAGTACTACCACCCATTCAGCCTCTAAGTGGTGATATGGAACACCTCATTTCTACAGTGCCTGTTGCAACCTAGATCGAGTATACTGAATTAGTGGTTGCTAGGGAGGAATTGGTTTGGTAAAAACACACCTTCCTGGGCAACACTTGCCACAGAGTGGGATCCTGTGAAAATGAGGTAGGGACCCGTGAAAGGTAAAGTAGTGACAACAGTAGCAGTGAAAATACCCCTATTTATAATTTAGCAAAAGTGGTTAATATAGCTACAGAGGTTAGTCAAAAACCTTCAGATGAAGATACTGCCAGATCATGCAAATGTACTGGAGAAGATCCACATACCAGCCCACACAATGTCCTCCAGTTGGCAATTCAACTGGGTCACTAAGGACATAGAAATGCAACTTATCTTATGAGATGCGACTCGCAGAAGTCTCCTCGCCTCCAAAAAGAGTCCAGAATAAGCAATATAAATCAATTTCCTACCCACCTCGTCAATGTAGAAAGGGGTAAATCCTGGGAAACTGAATGATCCCAATGAATAAAAATGGTTGTCTAGCATCCCTAAAGGAATTAATGCAGGCAACAAAACCTTCCAGACCCTCACTGGTCATATCAACCGATCTAGATCTGATCAGTCATAGAAGTGAGAAATCAGAAGAATCAGTGAAGAGGATTTATCCCCTTCCCCGGCTGACAGTGTCTTAGGGAAGAATTGGTCTGAACAAGCATCTTGTGCACATTCAGCATAAACCACTCCAACCGGCAATGTCTGTAGGTCAGCAGCAATGAAAAATAAACCTTCAGGGAAAGGTGATACATGGCATACAAGGCTATGGTCTCAAACAGGTGTTGAGAAAGAACATGTAATGCCATCTTCATATTCCAGTTAGATAATTGAAATGGTCATTTGCGATGAAGGACCCAAGATGATGTGAGGAAGCTGGAGAGTACTGGGGAATCAAAGAATATTGTCTCTCATATGGAAAGTAGTTGATAAGACCAACTTATACAGGACAATTGTGGAAGATGCAAAACCCTTGTCAAATAGCCAGGTCAAAAAATGAGTTATGGTTGGCACTTCTGATTGAAATTAAGTTCAACCTCCTCTCAATACACTATTGCTAATATGTGTGCCATCTCCATTGATAAATGTATATTGTGGGACTAAGCAAAGACTGAGAGAGATAAATGGCAACCTTAGAAATTTAACCCCGACAACATACAGCGAACTGCATAACCTCCATTCCTGATGTTTGAGCTTCTGGATAGCCAGGTGTCTGATGTCAAATCAAGCCTGCCTCCACAGAGATGGCCAAAGAAGAAATGGAGGAGTTGGGCACTCATGAAGTACCTCATAAGCAGAAACCAGGATTTAGCTACCAATCTGGTGCTATCAACAGGACCCACCAATGGGTTAGAAGGAATCATAGCTAGTGCCTTGGGTAACATACAAATCAGTGGGAAGGCTTAGAGGTTTAATTTGTCCAGTCCTGATGGAATGCATTTATTGCCAAAGCTGTTAACTTATTAACAGAAAAACTTATTTATCACCTTCACTATAAATATTTAAAAAAGGTAATAAGCTTGACAAATAAATATATATATATATACATTCTTTTTTTTTTAAGTGAACCTGTTGAATTGGATCATTTTAATACAAAACTGTACAAACAATAAACAACATGATTCAAATTATGATCTAATATAGGAAAAAATAATCTGATTAGTTTATCAACACAATAATAACTGCATAGTACTTATATATTTTATGGGGTAAAATTTATGAAACCCAGTTTAAACTATAAATATTTTACATTTTCACAGCAAGTACTTTACTTAGTTGATTAAGAACTGTGTTAAAGGGGGTAAAACTTTAAGAATTTACTCTTAATATTTACTCAATAAAATTGCATAAAAGTTTTAAACAAAACATTAGGAGGTGAAATACTTACATAAATATTTGTACATTTTACAACACTAAATTATGTTAATTTCCTTATGGAAACTATTGTTATAAAAGGGCTAAGTGCTAGCAACTGGATTACTATAATTTTAGTAAATATAAAAAAAGAAATACAATAAACACTGTCATAATACAGCATTTATCTTGACAGAAATAAGATTTATAAAATTACCAAATTCAACAGGTTACACATTACTTAGTCCAAGGTGTCATCTATATTATATAGTGCTGCAGTAATTGATGTTGGTCTCTTTTTATCAAGTTGTTTTTTTCTTATAAAGTTATTTTTTTACAGCCTCACAAAACATAAGATAATTTTGAAATTATCAAGCAACTTGTAAATATAAGATACATGTAGAAATCTTGTTAAATTTTTTGTTTTTATTAAATTAGAAAACTACTAACACTACTTACATACAAAAACACATCAACACTCCATGTGTATTAAGTTAATAAGATTTAAAGCGGTCCAGAAAAATTTATTATAATACTAAAGCATATAAATATTGGAGCAAAAAATTATGGTAAAAAAATAGCTATCCATACATTTTATGGAAACATTTCCATGTGCAGTACATGTAAAAGCAAGCATGAGCCTCATGTTTCCAGTTATAGACCAAACCATTTTGAAATGTCTAGAAGGATTTTATGTACTGTATTCTTTTTCCTATACATGTATCATTTCCCAGAAATAAAAGTTAACCTTGAGCATGCATCACACAATAACTGCCAAATGATTCCCTAATGTACATGTATTAGCTTCACATCTTAGTATTAAACACAATTACCTATTCATGTACAGTATAGTTACACACATGCTTGAGCAATCATACCTTTTTTGGCACTTCTGATCTGTAAGTGACTCAACATACATAAAAAAAAGTTGCCTTGAAATTTCTACATTTGTACTCACAAGAAATTGTGACTTCTAAACTAGAGCCAAAAAAAAATACATTTAATGCCACAAAACTTCTGTCAGGTGTTTACCACAACAAAAATGTTTGAAATACATAGATAAAGAGAATGCAATGTTTATAAGCATGTGAATGATATCTTATCTATGGCTCTTCACTACAATTACATTTACTTGCACCTTATGTTCATTCACAAAAACACACAGTGTATGCAAGAGAAACTTTTAGAAATATTGCTTCACTAAAATAGGTACCATAATAAGAATTAAATATATCACTGGACTATGAAAGAGAGTACACACACATATATATATATATATATATATCTATCTTCATTAATCCCCAAATTACCAATTTGTTTCTATACAAGTGGAGTCCACATTTTGAATATTTTATGTTTTCGGCTGTTACTATATTTGTTACAAAGAACCAAAAAAGTGTAAAAATCATTATTTTCCTAAGAAATATACTCCAACAACAATTGTTGACACGTACACAACGTACTCCAACAACAATTGTTGACACGTACACAACGTACTCCAACAACAATTGTTGACACGTACACAACGTACTCCAACAACAATTGTTGACACGTACACAACGTACTCCAACAACAATTGTTGACACGTACACAACGTACTCCAACAACAATTGTTGACACGTACACAACGTACTCCAACAATTGTTGACACGTACACAACGTACTCCAACAATAATTGTTGATACATACACAACGTACTCCAACAATAATTGTTGATATATATATACACAACGTACCCCAACAATAATTGTTGATATATACACAACGTACTCCAACAACAATTGTTGATATAAACACAAGGTACTCCAACAATAATTGTTGATATAAACACAAGGTACTTCAACAATAATTGTTGATATAAACACAAGGTACTTCAACAATAATTGTTGATATATACACAACGTACTCCAACAATAATTGTTGATATAAACACAAGGTACTCCAACAATAATTGTTGATATATACACAATGTACTCCAACAATAATTCTTGGGAAGAAATGCAATACTGATGTTTTTTGGGTTTTTTTTAGATATTTTATGTTACTCGTGTATTCCACAGGAACCACAAACAAACTGATGCATAAGTAATTAAGAACATATGCAATGAATTCCTGAGAAGAAAAATGAAATCTAGTACTAAAGATGAACACATTCAAAGCTTTTATAAAAAATGTTTTGGAATACACTTATTTCATCTTTAGTAAAATCTAGAACAATATTATAATTATATTATTAACAAATTTTATAGTAACTTCAATAACTAATTTACTTTGAATATTTAGTAAAGCTTTAAACAGAAGGAAGTACAGATTACAGGTTGCATGAGACAATAACATAATTATTCTTAACAAAAGGCTAAGTGTTAAATAAAACTATTCAAAATAATTCTTATGTCTGGGGATGTTTGTGAGCCGTTAAGAGCCTGGTAGATTTTTGCTATGAATAAGCTTTCTTTAATGTACAGTTCAAGGTCTAAAGATCCTTATAATGATGGAGAACTTGTTATACGAATGTTGCAACCTGTGGCTTCAGATGTGAATGAATAGTCTTCAATGTTCACAGACTAAGTTTTTTGCCAGTATATATATATATATGACATTACAGTCACTATATGTATACACACACAGACACTTATACAAGGGCCATGAACATATAAGTGTTTGTATTCAATCTTTATATTAAAATAAGTGTCTAATATGAAGACTGGATCTATATATTAATCTGAGTTGAGTTTGAAAGTAGAAGTTTTTTAAAGAGGAGAGTTGTTTTTAAATTTGTAAGGCTTATGAGCCCCTAAAAGGAAGGCAGATAATGAAAGGAAATTTGAGGACAGTTTGCAAAGTAGCAAGTGGCTGGTGGAAATTGTTGTTTAGAAATTTGTGAGTAATGCTTGTCATAAAATCAGTCAGATCGACATTGTTAACATGTGTTTGTGCAGAAGTGTAATTTCTCCATGTATAATACAGTAATTTGAGCCGAAATTAAAATTCTAGTTAAAATTGACATGATTAGATTTCTTTGAAATGATTGGGAATAAAGCTGTTAAAATTGGAGTTAAGGCATGCAAAAGTTTTTGTCACAAAAAGCAGAAGTAGAAAAACAATTACTTCTTTAGTAATCCTGATGTCAAGGAAAGGTTAGGGTTCATTTTCACATGTTTGGATATGAAGTTGGTTTTAAGGTGTTGGGAGTTCAGGTAAGCAAGAAATTTAGAAAGATGAAACAGCAAGAAAGTATCATCAATATAGCATTTATAAAGGACAGGTTTGAAATCACATGGGTATATTTCTAGCCAATTGCATTTGTCATAGCTTAGAATACTATTGGTTGTCATTGAGCCAAGCAGGAACCCAAGGAAATTCTATATAACTGGTCATAAATTACATCATTAACTGACTTAACTTCGTAGAAAGAGTAAGAAGTTCCAAGAATTATTTTTGGCTAGACCAAGATATTGCTGAAAGGAAAGAGGGGTCCATCATTAAATTTAAAGTTTCATCAAGAGGAATACTGCCATAGAGATTTTCAATATCAATACTAGTCATAACATAGTGATCAACAGAGAGAGTTTTAGGTTTCAGAAGCAAAAGTGATAGAATCAGTAATAGTAAATTCATTCAAAGTAAGATATTTAAGATCAGGAACATTATGTTTAGAGATATTGTAATTTCAGCTGATAAAAATGGACAGAAAGTTTTGTGAACTTTGGATAGGCCAAAAATAATACCAATTGCTTGTGCTGCTTGGGGCAAGTTAGTGAAAAATCATTGCACAGATATTTTGCTGTTAAAGGGTCTTGAGAAAAAGTAGGATCTTACCTTCACTCTTAAAAGTTAAGAGTTAGTATCTAGTTTTTGGATTTACAAGTGTCACTGAGCTGGTGGTTCATTTTATCATTTTGGGTGCCTTTTTATTTTTCTTATTGACAATACCACTATCTTTGTATAGTTTAGTGACAACAATGTCTTTGTTTTTGGACAGAGTTTGAGAGCATACAGTTCATCACTGTTTAATGAAGAGATTGGTTAACAAGAGTTATATCTGTAGAGGAGAAAAGAGCTATGTCTTTTTAGTTTAAATTTTAAAAGATTGTGCACTGTATTACTGTTTGTTTTAGTAAACATTTGAAGCTTTTATAATGGAAAATATTTTGTGTCTTATCCATTGTCTTCATCTACATAACTTTAGGGTTGAGTGAACTGAAACAGTTATAAAGGCCAAAAAGGGGTATTATTGTAAAATACAGAATATATAGCCTTTATAAAAGAAATAACACATGAAAGCTTAAGAATTTTTCTAACACTTTTAGAAAAATGGGGAGAGTAAATGTAGCATTTTGAAAGCTTATTTAAGAAATTCTAACACGTTTCTTTGTACTAAAGTAATGTAGTCATAGACTATTCTATATTAGTTTACATTTTGGAAAATAAATTTGTTATTTCAATACTGTTTATAAATGGCTTACTGATTATCACAATAGATTTTTTATTATACTTCTAAGTTTTCTAATACTTCTTCTAAATCGCCAGCCTCTACTATTGCTGATAGAAACTCATTACATAATCCAATCACCCTGTTATGAAAAATTAATCTGTCTTAACTTGTGCTTAGCTTGTCTTTCATAACTCTCATTCTATTATCTTCAGAATATAGCACAAATAAATTGAAGACTTTCATCCTATCAATCTCCTGAATAATATGTTAACTTTAATAAGCTCATTTCTTACTTTTCTTTTCTCAATAGAAAATAAGTAAATATATTGTGTAAATAGAAAAACAAAAACTACACACAAATGAGGCCTAATTAGTGATTTGATAAAAGAGATAATGAACACACTTGACTCATAATTGATAATTCTATAAATAAATCCTAAAATCCTATTAGCTTTATTATTTGCAACGGAGCACTACCTCAATAGCTTGAGTGACTTATCCACCACTATAACAAGATCTTTTTCTTCACTCATGCTATTGAACAATGAGGCAATGTACCAGTTACACTTGTCTGATTGGACTTCATTGATAACAGCCTTTTCCTTGCTCCCATCTAATCACCCTGCAATAAAATTAACAGGTTTTTCCCAAACTATTATCAATGTGATTTTCTTAGCTATATGCAGAGTTTTGTGCAACATCTTATCAAGAATTCTTTGACAATCAAAGTACACAAAGTTCACACTTTTTTTACAATGTCTAGATAACAAGTTCACAATTTACAGGAACTTAAGATGGGAATTGATGATACAGTATTTTGAAAAAAAATGGTGGTTTTAAATTTTCACTTTTTTCAAGGGTGAGTTTGCTAGAACAACTTGTAATGGACCAAATGGTCTCTTGTTACATCACAATGCAGTTAAATGTATGTTCTAGGTAACAACAGGTAGCAAGTTGCAATTATCTAATTTACTGGTAAGATTGACAGTATGACCTCAATTTGATTAACTGCAAAATGAATAAAATAAAAAAACGCTAGAATTCCATGCAATTAAAGTATTCAAAAGTGCAAATTATTGTAAACATACACAACAAAGCATGAAAAACTAATAAAATTAGATCTATCTATTAATTATGGATTTTTTTTTAAGATTGCTTTGAGCAAATTCTGTTCATC